ACACACACACACTCTCTCTCTCTCTCTCTCTCTCTCACACACACTAATCAGAGCAGGTCAAGCAGTTCAATACTAACTAAAAGCTGAAAGTCAATTGTGGGTGGAGTCACAGTATTCACTAAGCCCCGCCCCCATGCCCCACTCACCTGGTACGGTGAAGTCCTGAGTGTATATGATGTCATCCTCCCCGTCGAACAGCTCGTCATCCTCCTCCTCCTCCTCAGCGTAACCGTGGAGATCCTCCAGGTATGGCACCACCGTCATGCTGCGCCACGGGTCACGCGTCTCTGCGCTGGGCGGGATGGGCACGGGAGGCTCCGAGGGTGGGTGTTTCTTACGCACCCAGCTAAACAGGAAGAGGAAATGACCCGTGAGACCAATCGTGATGACATCATCTGAAGCGGCGTTATTAGAGTTTACCAAAACAAAACATTTTCATTATTGAAAATACAATAAAATTTAACAATTAAAATTAAATGTATAAAAAAACTTGGCTAATATTTCTCATTTTCATTTAGTTTAACATGATGCACTACAATTACTAAACTAAAAAAAAAAAAAAAAACTATATAATTAAAAAATCCAAAAATAATAAAAGATCAAATTAAAACGGAAAATATAAAAAATTATTCAAATTCTCATTTTTAAAGAATATAAAAACAAAGCAATTATGTAAGATTGATTAATTGATATTACAATACAGTAAAACAGTGAAATATTATTATAATTTAAAACAGCTGTTTTCTGTGTGAATATCTGTTAGACTGTAATTTATTTCTGTGATCAAAGCTGAATTTTCAGCATCATTACTCCAGTCTTCAATTACTCCAGAAATCATTCTAATAATCTGATCTCAGGTGAGCTCAAACATCATTAGTGCACATGCTCATCAAGAGCTCTTCCGTATCCATGGAAACCGCATCCGATGATCTCTGCTGGATGAAGATCTCAAATCCAGACCAGGTTTATTTCTAGCTCTCACTATTCTCCACTTCCTCTTCCTCCCACTCTGCGCTCATCTAACATCAGCGCTCCTGCGTCACGGACTAAAGGACCCTAAAGACTTCACTTAAGTTTTGAACAGAACCGTGCAGCTAAAAGAACAATATTCAGAAACGATTCCTGTCCTCAGGAGCCTGCTGAGATCATTTTCATCATCTCGAGATGAAGAGAACTATAGCAAATCAGATATTTATTGTATCATTGTTCTTTCGCAGAGCTGCATATGTTGTTATCATATGCTGTTATCTATATTCAGACAGGGATGGGAAGCACTGCATTGATAATTCTGCACTGATGGACTCACTTGTGTTGTCTGATGTGCTGTATTGAAAACCTCTTCACAGGATCATATTCCAGCATCCCTGCGGATAAAAACAGCTCAGATGAAGGAAGCAAAGACACATACGCATAAAGCCACACGATCGACATCAGGATCAGTCAGAGTGCTTTAAAACAGACAGACTTCATGCTATAGGTGGCTGTCATGACTGGGTTCAATACACAATACTGATCTCACCAAACTTTAAACAAAGCCAAGAGAGAGTAAAAATGGTACGTTTGTGTTTTTTAGATTATTACATGATAAACAGTTAACAAAAAAGTACTGTTCATTAACCAGAACAGAAATATTGATGATTCTGCTTAGCTAATAATTCAGAATTATGTTATACACATATGCATACCCCAAACTACATGCATTATGATTATTATTCTTTTAATAAAATAATGTTTTTTATTTATTTTATGTTTATTTATTAAATATTTTTAATGTAGTAATAATAATTTACAAACATGAAAGCTCAAATGTAAGCGATTCTATATGACTGAAGAGATTATATATGACTAAAAGCATAATTTAAACTAGTCTGAACTACACACAATAAATTGTTTCATTTTTTATTCTGATACACTGTAACACAATATACTGTTATACCTCTAGTGGTTGCTAGGTGATTACCTATGGATGTTTAAAAATGTTACACTGAAATGTAACATTCAGTGTTAGGAGATAGCTCATCCAATGAGCATGCTTAACAGCTGTGTGTGTGTGTGAGAGAGTGTGTGTGTGTGTGTGTGTGAGAGAGTGTGTGTGTGTGGTTGTGTGTGTGTGAGAGTGTGTGTGTGAGTGTGTGTCTCTGTGTGTGTGTGTGTGTGTGTGAGAGTGTGAGTGTGTGTGAGAGTGTGTTCATTCATGAGTTTTTGCTGAGCTTGTGATAATAAAGCTCTCAAGCACAGACTGATCCAGCATCAGTGCTGAACATTAATGTCACGGCGCCATCTATAGGTCAAACATATGAACTACAGCACAGCCATGAAAAACAATGCTCATTGCGCACACAATAAAGTAAAGGAGGTTTAATTAAGAAATTGGCCTCAATTTGAATTGAATGTCTTTATCTTGAACTCAGAATGCATTTAATCTTAGAAATATACTGACATTAAAACATGTTATACTATGTATAATATATATTATATTATTATTCACTTATTTTCATTAAAGGAGTCATGAACTGAGAAACCAAAATTCCCTTGATCTTTTGACATATACGAGGTCGTACTATAAAAACATCTTGTTAGTTTACTATACTATTATTTGTCTTTTCTTTTTTCTTTTTCACAGTTTCTAGCCATGCAGTCTTTCTCTCAGGTTTTATGACAGCTGTACCTTTTGCAGAACATTGAATGTCTTTATCTTGAACTCAGAATGCATTTAATCTTAGAAATATACTGACATTAAAACATGTTATACTATGTATAATATATATTATATTATTATTCACTTATTTTCATTAAAGGAGTCATGAACTGAGAAACCAAAATTCCCTTGATCTTTTGACATATACGAGGTCGTACTATAAAAACATCTTGTTAGTTTACTATACTATTATTTGTCTTTTCTTTTTTCTTTTTCACAGTTTCTAGCCATGCAGTCTTTCTCTCAGGTTTTATGACAGCTGTACCTTTCATAGTTTGCAGAACAGATAGCAAAACATCAGAACATTACAATCTAAAATGGCTCTTTAAAGCATTAAAATCACTAAATTAAAAGTTAAAATCACTGAATTGAATAAATAATAAAGAAAATGACTATTTTAACAGCTATAAGAAACACACATTAACACATTTGAGCTTATAGTAATTAGTACTGTACTAACTTACATTTGATTTACCCATTACAATAGTCCACTTAAAGTAAAAATACACTTATATGCAGGTTTATAAATCTACAAAAGACACATTTAATGTCCAACAACAAATATTTTAGCAAAATGAATTATTTTATATTAATTTATATTTTTGGTTCTTGCCGATACCGAGTATTTTTCATTGTATTTGTGCATTTTTTTAAATATTGGGTACAGAAACCAAAAGAATATGTATAATGTTAGTTGGTTAACTTCATTTATCAAATAGATATATCCTTCAGTTATTTGCACACTTTTAAGTTTGTTACTTCCACTGTTAATTTATGCTCTGTGCTACATCATCTTTAATTTAATAGCATTAGAGCTGCTCAGTACTGTAATCACACGTTTAATTGTCTTAATTGCTCTGCAGCACTGCTAATATGCACTATGAACACAATAGAGTTAGATCTCTAACCAGAGGACCGCTCAGATCGTCATACCTGCTCTCTGTTAAAAGCACGGAGTCACTATAGTCTCTGTGAAGCGTGTGCATTGAGAAATGCTCCACACAAACAGATCCGAGCACGTTTCGTCGCTCACCTCTCAGCAGGTCCGAGAGCAGCGGGCCGCACTCCTCAGGAACAGTGTAGTCACCCTTCCCAATGTTCTCGAATAGCTTATAGATGTTGTCCCCCTCAAACGGGTACAGGCTCGTGGTTATGTTGTATCTGTGAGGAGAGACACACAGCTCTCAGCTTAGACCATGTCAGAAAACACTCATCAGACAATCTCTGTTCAGCTCCACAGCTTATTTTTAAAATGCACTTGGCAGCAGAAGTCACTGTGGGAAAACTACATTACCCATGATGCTGTGCAGAAAATTCCACCAATCAAAGACACAGCGAGGAATAAATACATGCTTAAACATATGCATAATTTGCGATGAACTCTGAATATATTGTCTCTACAGATATAATCAACGACTTTTCTGTGTTTTATAATTGTCCGTCACTTTTAATTCAATTACATCATTTGCGATGCTTCATGGGATTGTAGTTCTTTCTCTCGATGATTCAAAATAAGATATGAACATATCCGCCAACTTTTTCAGCGAAACAACATTGTTTCTAGAGGTCGATCCCACTGGGAGCCTATACTGACAATGCAGATTGGGAGAAAAGCAAAGTTTGCACAAATGTAACTTTGTCTAAATAGTTTTCCAGCTCCTGTACATTTTGTAGTCTTGAGGATTGAAACATTAATATATTTCTTTTTTTCCATTCTGCAGTTTTGGTCTAATTTACACTCCCATATAGTTAAACCCCCAAATCATTTAATGTAACTAGGGGTGTGCGATATATATCGCCTGCGATAATATCGTAATTGTTGTTTTAACGATGTGCGATTTATCGAGTATTTTGCAAAAACCATTCAAAACATCCCTACAGAGCGCACGCATACATTACGTGAAGTCTAGACTAGTGCGTGTGTGCATTTAGTGTGTTTTCTTTCACTGCATGATTCAGTCTATTAAAATGCATTTAGAATGATCACAAATTCAAGACATGATGGCAGAAAATTTATATATTTACACCACTTCATATAGTTATTCAATTTCACACGAAGAGTGCCGTTTTTCTCCAAAAATTACCATGATTACAAATGTGACATTGAATTCAATAAACAATAAGTTAATTAAGAGACTTACGTTTTAGACACCATATTGCTTGTTTTTGCTCTATTTCGCCAACAAAAATCATCCCGAATACAGCCACAGCGCTGTTTTGTGTCTCTGAGCAACATGACGGTGTTTCGTTCCTGAATGAATCAACCGTTTAAATGATTCGGTTCAATCGCAATGACTCACTTATTAACAGTGATTTGCTGCCACCTGCTGGCGGTTTTAATTTCAAATTTTTTTGATTTTTTTCATGTTTTAAATCATTTCAAATAATTCAAAAATTAAACGTTTTATGTTTAATATATCAAAACAT